TGAAATATCTCATTCCAGGCTCTCCTTGCCCCAAGGGTTTGTGTTGAAAAGTCTGCTGTGATTCTGATGGGCTTTCCTTTGCATGTGATTTGTTTCTTTTCTCTTACTGCTTATAGTATTTTGTTCATCTGTTGGGTTTCTGGGATCTTGATTATTGTATGTCTAGGTGTAGATTTTTTTTGATTGTAGCTAGTTGGGGTCCTATATGCCTCACTTATCTGAATGTCAAATTCTTCCCTCTGTTTGGGAAGTTTTCTGTCATTAATTCTGCAAACAGCTTTTTTAAGTCATTTGTATTTTCCCCTGCTACTTCATGGATTCCTATCAGTCTTATGTTATTCTTCTTTGCATCATCTAGGAGTTGTTGGATTGATTTCTCATGATCCCCTACTGTTTTTAAGAGATCTCTCTTTTGATGGTCTCTGACTGCAATCTTATCTTCCATATCTGAGAATCTATCTTCACATTCTTTTATTCTGGTGCGTACACTTTCAATGGAATGTTTAATCTCCTGGATATCTGTTTGAATCTGTTTTATGGATTCCATTTCTTTCCTATGTTGGGCGTTCATTTTTTTTTTCATTTCTTTCTTATGCTGGGCCTTCATGGCTTCTATCATGGTGCTGAGCCCATCTATTTTTTTCTCAGTTTCTGTTCTAGAGTCTCGAATCATGACTTTCATTTTGCTCACCATCTCTATAGTTATCTGTGAAATTATTTCTGTTTTGAATTTTTCTAGAGCCTGATTGATCTGTTTTTTACTTCCTGTGCTTTGAGTTCAGGGTGTCCTGGTGGTTCACTATTGGCCTTTTCATCCTCATTTGCCCTACTGTTTGCCATTGGTGAACTGGAAGTCTGTCTTTGTGTCTTCCTTGTTTTCTCATTTTTATTTTTGTTGTCAGATTGTCCTTGGTTTAATCTCTGGGTTATCACCCAAATCTTCCTGATGTAGTTGCACCCTAGATTCTGGGTTTCTAACGACCCACAGACATTCTCATCTCCATAACGTCAAAGAAAACAGTTTATTGAATCAAGTACAATCCTTTATCCCAACCAGCAACACAATATGATCAAGCACAACTTGGAAACTGACCACCTGTGGTAATCAGTAGTCTATCACCCTTAAACCATTTGAATTAAATTCAAATCAAGAAGCAGTCCAAAACATGTCTGCAGTGAAGCAACTTTTCAATATAGTATATTTACCAATTAGGATGGGGGCTCAGACAGAGCTAGGACTCAAGACCCCTGATCTCAGTTAGCTGATGGCTGAACCCCATGATGCAGACTGACCTCGGGCTGCAAGGCCCAGATTGAGTTCCCCAACCTTATGAACATTTGAACTACACACCATTCTACTACAGGTTTCCGAAGACCTTTCTTGAAAGATATTCAATGTTGGGAACTCAGAAAAGTACCCTCTATGACCACCTCTGCCTCTGCAGAGCGGGTCCAAAGACTGGCTCAATCAGGAGGTCTGAGAGTGGGAGGGATGGGGGGGAGTTCAGGGGCACCTGCCTGGCTACCTTCCTGGTGCTGGAGCAATTGTGGCTTCCAGTGGGGGAAGGCGTGGCTATCCTTCCCACAGTGGATCAGGGCCCAGGCAGCCCTCCTGGT